TCAGCACAGCAACCCAAGGGTCATCTGGGTTTGGTGGATTCGGATCATCTGTACGTCATCATCGTTGTCATCGTCATCATCATCACTCGTGCCATACGACAGTTCCGCTGGTGGGTGATAAGCCTTCAGGTGATTCAGGTGGGCTCTGAACTGAACTTCTGTTTCGAGGTCTTCAATTTCAAAGGCAACTGGACCCAGACGTCTGATGATCCTGGCAGGACCTCCACTTTCTGGTGAGAGGGGGTAGACCGCCCATCTTGTGCCGATGTTCAAAGTACCATACCAACGCACCTTCAGTCGGCTGAAATTCCACCTTCTTGCCTTTGTTGTATTGCTTGCCATAAATCTGTCGTGCTTCCTTAGAGGCTTTCACAGCTGCTTGGCGGGCCTCTCGTAAACGTGCTTGAAGATTCACGTTCTCATCAAAAACTGCTTCATTGGTGAGCCCAATCTGGAAGTTAGCATGGCGGCCGGTTAGCATGTAAAGGGGTTGCTCCCCTGTGGTCCGATGGATAGCCGAGTTGATCTGTAGCCGCAACTCAGGAACAAACTGGTGCCAGGTTCGTGGGCGATCATTGACAAGAGAAGTAAGGGCAGACTTTACCACACGATTGGTACGCTCAATCAAACCATTGCTTGAGGATGGTAGCGAATGGTGTAGTGGTTGGTAGCATGCATCAGTTTAGCGAGTTTCCTTAAAAGGTTGCTTGTGAATTGGACTCCGTTGTCAGTTTGGATAACCCTAGGAGGGCCGAAGAGGGTTACCCAATGGTCCAGAAAGGCTCGGTGGACAGCGACAGCAGTGACTTTCCGTAGAGGTATGATCTGCAAATACCGTGAATGCTGGTCTATGATGGATAACGCCCAGCGGATGGGAATGCTGGGCCCAAAGTCCATAATGTCCATCGAGACTCGTTCCAATGGAAAGTTAGAAAGGGGTGTCTCAGCCATAGGAACCTTTTGCCTGTCGCCTCTTGATTGTTGGCAAATCTCGCAGCATTCTATACTGTCGTACATCTTTCAGCATGTTTGGCCAGTAGAACATTGATCTTGCATTTTGAAATGTTCGATGGATGCCTGGATGAGAAGCAAGTGGAGGAAGATGTGATGCTTTTAATGCCGAATTTCGTAGAGTCACTGGAACTACTAACTGGTATACAATCCGATCTGGTAGATTCTTCAACCGGTAGAGGACGCCTTCCTTCAATTCAAAGTCAGCAAGAGGAAGAGGAAGCTTCTTAGTTGGCAGGTTTCCCCCTTCCAAATAACTGCAAATCTCTGCAAGCTGAGGATCTGCTTTCTGCTCTTCTGCAAGGCTTTCAGGAGAGAGCTCTGTTATTGTCAGCTTTGCAACTTGTCTGGAGAGCAAGTCTGGCACTTTATTGGTGGGGCCCTCTTTGTACCTGATGCTAAAATCATAGAAAGACAAGTCATGGGCGAATCTTGTCATCCTAGGAGTTGGTCTTCCTGCTGAACACATACACTAAGGGGCGGTGGTCGGTGTACACGGTGAAGCGCCTTCCATAAAGATAGGAATCGAAGGTCCGGACTCCTTCCACAACAGCTAGAGCTTCTAAGTCGATGGCTGGATAGCGAGTTTCTGCATCACGGAGCTTTCTGCTGAAATAGGCAACTGCATGCGGTGTCTGGTCATCTCTCTGCATGAGACAGGCCCCAAGTGCAATACTAGAGGCATCAGTGTGAAGTTCGAATCCCTTGGAGAAGTCAGGCTGGCGTAAGACTGGAGCAGATGTCAGCTTCTCTTTCAGAGTTTCAAACGCGGCTTGTTGTTCGGGTCCCCAGGTCCAAGCTTGATCCTTTTTCAGCAACAGATGCAATGGTGATGCTAAGGTTGCATATCCTGGAACATGTTTCCTGAAAAATCCTGTTGCTCCTAGGAAACGACGAACTTCTCTAACTGTACGTGGTGGTGGGTGTTAGAGATAGCCAAAACCTTATCCTTGTTAGGGGAGACTCCATCAGGGGAAATCGTGAAGCCGAGGAAATCTATGGTTGTGGCTGCAAACTGGCACTTGTCCATGTTAAGTTTCAGGCCGGCCAATGACAGCAACTGCAAGGTCTCGTCTAGATCTTGGAGGTGTTGGTCGAAGTTGTGGCTGTAAATGATGACGTCATCTAAGTAGGCTAATGTATGACGTCCCAGTACCGACGATAAGACGACATTCATAGTCCTCTGGAACGTGGTTGGAGCTGTTGATAACCAAAAGGAAGACGGCAGAACTGGAAAGTCGGTAGCCATCTGAAAACGCCGTCTTTGGTCGATCCTCTTTCTTCCAATTCCACACTCCAGTATGCAGCGCGGGCATCTAAGGTGGTAAAGATGTTCTTTGGGCCCAGTTCATCGATGAGTTCGCTGATAAGAGGCAGAGGATACGTATCACCCTTGGTCACTGCGTTCAGGCCACGGTAATCAACACAGAACCTGAGAGCTCCTCCCTTCTTCTTAACCAGCACAACAGGGCTCATCCAGGGGGATGTGGATTCCTCAATGACCCCTGAGCGAAGCATAGAGTCACACTGCTCACGAATAACTTGCCGTGTTGAATGGGGTAATCGCCACTGTCGGATGCAAACAGGCTTGGCATCTCCTGTGTCAATCTGATGCTTGATTCCAGGTACAAGACCTACAGCTTCTTCACCACCATCAAAGCCCTTGAAACGACAAAGCAGCTCAGTCAGCTGATGGCGTTGGGGGTCTTCAAGGTGGCCGAGATCTGGCATCGGGTGGTCATCCAGGTTTGGACCGTGTTCCAGGAGTTCGGCAGCTTCACAGGCAGCAATGGCAATAGAGGGCGGCAGCTCCATGTGTTCAACCTCCAGCTCATCATCATAGCCGAAGTCTTCGACTCCATATTGTCGGTCAAAGCAATCTTCTTCCCACTCAAAGTCAAAGGTTTCTCCATCCTCAAGGGAATCAGGCTCGACAGGACAGTAGTTGGACCTGGCGACGACTTCCTCAGGCATCTTGGGCAGTTGTTGAGATGGGTCATTGGTGTAAATGGCTTCTACCTGCTCTGCCTTCCCAAGGCGTGTTCCATTATGTAAAACCATCGGTTTTGGAGTCGCATTCACCACCCACACAGAGCACCGACGATCCTTCACCTTTGTGACAGCATGAGGTAAAAGAAGTCCTTTCGGCATAGCTGTGTAGTGTTATCCCCTCCCAGCTGAGTCACTTTCAAACTACAACGCGGGTCTTGCAGAGTGCAACTTACGAACAGGGGAGCTGCTTTCAAAAGGGTGGTAGCTGGCGTGTACTGCAGCATGACCCGTTCGTCACAACCCTGAAGCCCTTTAACCCCATGAGTAAAATAAAAACATTACATTATCTTTAATTATCATTTACTTTAACTGTTCTCATTCACTGTTATTATTGTTCATCAATGTAGTCATTTTCTTTTTCCATTTTATCAATTTCATTTCATTCTTAAGGGTAAGACGTGCCCATTCTTCTTTTAAAACCAAATAAAAAGTAAAATAAACAAACCAAGGATAAAACGAAACCAAAGCGTAAAAAGGTAAACCTGAGATCCCCTCAGTCTGTATATTCTCAAAGGTTACAATGCATATAACGCATCCTAACTGGCCTCTTACAAAACATGAATATACTTATCTTTCTCTCTTGTAGGAAAATCGAAGAAACAAACAAAACAGGAGACGTCCAGTGAGGCCGGGCGCTCCGTGAGCAGCACTGAACTGCCGAGCCAACAACCCAAGAGAGAGTCTAGCATAAACAGGCTCTTTATATAGGCTCTTAAAAATGTGTAAATAATAAAAAAATGAAAATAAAAGAAGTTTACTTTACATAATTAAAAGAAATTAAAATAAAACTAGAGGCCGTGAGAAAAAGATAAAAGAAATAGAACATAAAAATACGAAAAATAAAAAGGCTCCAGGGACGCAAAACTGCAGCTGGTTACCGCCGATCCCCACAGATGGTGCTGGCTAGAAAAGGGGGGACTCGCCTAGTCTGGACTCCTGCTTAGTAGGGGTACCTCACGTCCACTACAACCCCTCCCTCGCCCACCGAGCGGCCAACACAGCTGAGCGAGAGGCTCCGCCAGGTGGAGAGCCAGGTCACAAGGCCTCCCTAGCCAGGCCTACGGGTCGCCGGGCGTGTGCCGACCTCAGACTGGCAGCCATGACGTCAAAGGTTGCTGGCTGTGCTGGGCGCTCAGGTCGAGGGGAACTCGAACTGTCGACAGACTAGCGAGTCAAAGCACCATAAAAAATCAGTCAGATCTGAAAGGAGAGAGGATTAGTATTCATCCTTTGCAAGAGACGGCAGGCGAGTACATGATTGCAAACCCCAGGAATATACAGAGAGAGGGATCACGACCTCCTAAAATAAAAAAAAAAAAAAAAAAAAAAAAAAGCTAAGAACGAAAACCAGGAAAGGAACTTAAAATAACCCTTAAAACTAAATAAACCTAAACCTTAAAAACTAAAACTTGAAAAACCCTTAATCTAAATGAAACTTAAAATTAAAGACTTAAAAGTAATGCCTTAAACTAAAACCAAACTTAAAAAACTATACTTGAACCGAAAGCTTACAACTAAAGGAAATAAAATTAAATAAAAGAAACGCTGCCTGCTCCCTCTAAAACAATAAAGCTTTTAAACAAATAAATTACAATAAACATAAAATAACGTTACAAATAAAGCGTAACGCCACGCCTAACCAGCCCTGCGCCCAATTTAAGCTTGGAGGAAGAAGCTGACGTTCCCAGATGCGTCACCAATACCATGACCCTGATTACGTCGACCCATGGTTACCTGACGACGCGGAGCCAGGTGCAACGATGGTTGCTTTCAGCATACGTCCATCCCAACATGCACCTCAGTCGTGGTAGACTGGGTATGGTAAGGTACATCCTTACCATCAGAAAAAATTCACATTTATTACATCTTCCGCTGCAGGACCACGCAATACGTATACTTTGTGTTGAAAATAGAGCGAGACTGACGTTGCTCGCACGAGAACTCTGCTCGCCCATAACCTGGAACTACCGGTGCCAGACCACCGCTTCTGTAGTTTAGCTGGCCTGAGATCCCCGCTTTATTTTTTAACGTTTATTTTTAATGTTTTGTATTTGTAATTTTTTTTGTTTGTTTAAAAGCCTTTTATTGTTTTAGAGGGAAGCAGGCAGCGTTTCTTTTATTTAATTTTAAATTTCCCTTTAGTCTGTAAGCTTTCGGTTCAAGTATTAGTTTTTTTAAGTTTGGTTTTAAGTTTAAGGCATTTACTTTTAGTCCTTTAATTTATTAAGTTTCATTTAGATTAAGGTTTTTCAAGTTTTAGTATATATTAAGGTTATTTAGTTTTTTAAGGTTATTTTAAACGTTCTCCTTTCCCTGGTTTATCCGTTCATGTAGGTCGATGACCCTCTCCCTGCGTATTATTTTTTCTCTTGTGTTTGCATATTCAATGTATCACGTCTTCCTGTTCTCTTGAGCTTAAAAGGATGAATATTTTCTAATACCGTCAGGTTCGTTCCCTTCTCAGATAATCACGACTGATTCTTCTATAGGCATGCTCATTATGTATCTCGCTACGCTCTGGTGCGAGCGATGTCGGAGGTTTCTTACAGCTCGACCTGAGTCGCGAGTCGCATAGCGCACTAGCCACAAGCCTTTGCGTCCTGGCCTGGCACGTCTGAGGTCGGCAACCGGCGACGTGCGGACCCACAGTTAGGCCTGGCTAGGGACGTGCCACATTCGCTGCAACCTGCCTCTTCCCACCTGGCGGAGCCTCCCGCGTCAGCTCGCTGATTGGCTCGCTTCCCGGATGGGACGAGTATGGAGGCTAGGGGTATGTAAGTGGTATCGTGAGGTATGCGTGCTTCCTGAACTAATGCAGACACGTAGTCCTGTCCAGGAACAGT